TTTTTTGAATATGCAAGAGTTAAGGCTTTATTCACACAGTTGCATTGCAGTAACACACAGTAAAATATGTTATGTGCATTGGTGCACTGCACTGTTTTGCCGACTCGATGCTGATTGCCCAGGACCCGGCTCCATGCTAGCGGGAATACCGTTATTGGTACTAGCTATCGGCGAGTGCTCGACGGATAACTATCAGTACTTGCACTTAAAACCAAACAAAAACCCTGATATTTGTGCATCCCTAGTCCACTGTGTTGGTAAGACATAGTGCACGTTAAGCAGTTTTACTGCAAAGGCCAACCGCAAAGATGTAAATGTGCTCTAAAACCCATGTAAGCTTTTCTTTTTTTTGCCTTCTGTGCTCCATTGGTGAGATTCCCCTCCATTTCCTGCCCCATAGACACAACACAAATGAAGGGAAGTTCTCTCTTCAGTACTGCAACAAGTGTACCTATTGTGAAACACTCTATTTCTGTTCTGGTGACAACACATTTCCCTGCACTCAGTCCCAGTGGCAATGGTTACTAGAACAAAAAGAGAGGATGAATCTCCCCAATAGGTACATCAGAGCATTAAAAACCTGATCCAGAGGGGATCTAATCCTTTCCTATCTGAAAATAAAAAAAAGAGCTTAAAAGAGAATTATGGGGTAAGTCTTTTTTCCCCATAGTTCTCTCTAGGGTCACGGGAGGACATACACTAACCTCCTCCCGTGACCCAAAGTTCAGTATATCGGGGGCTATTGCCCGCCATGTACTGAGACCGCCACAGCCAGGATGGATCCTGACATTACTGTTGAGATCCACCCAGCTATGTGAGTGACAGCTGGCTCTGCCTATCTAGAGGCAGAGCCAGCTGTACCTGCCCCTTCCCCTGTCCGTTCCTCCAGTCAGCGCTGGAGGATCGGTGCGGGGAGGGGGGAATCCCTGCAGGAAACCGTGACTGACGGTCACCGCTCTCTGCAGGGAGATGATTGGGAAGTGAGCGGATCAGCGGCATGTTAGTGCTCACTTCCTGATCTATAGAGCCAACCTGTGGTAGTCTCATTGTCACAGGTCGGCTCTAACTACGAGGATGAGTGGAAATCACTCATCTCATAGTTCTCCTTTAAGATACACTACAATAGGGTATTATATGCTTCTTCTGGAAATTCCTTTCTTATGGAGGAAATTGAATTGGTGTAATCCTGTCAGATATAAAGTAAACATATTGCTAAGTATATGAGTTTGAAGGCAAGTATTACATAACATTTGAATTCTTTTTTCCTACATGCAAGGTACATAGATATCACTACTTGATTTAAAAAAAAAAAATATGTTCAATATGTGTCTGTAGAAGAATCTGTAAAGGGGACCATCTGTGATTAATCAGTATAGAAGGCGGGCCAGTTCTTCCTTACTTCCTTACTCTCCTATTTACAAAACATGCTTAGAAGCTCATTTGGGTCCCAGAGGTGGGGCTTAGTCTAGGGGCAGAACGGCTGGCTTTTTGGGTTCCTTTGAAAATATTGTTAAAAATTTGGAAGATCATTTAAACTTAACAAATGCTTAAAGGAGAACTATGAGGTGAGTGCTTTTCACTCATCCTCATAGTTCTAGCCGACCTGTGACAATGAGACTGTCACAGGTCGGCTCAGTAGATCGGGAAGTGAGTGAACACGTACCGGCGCTTGCTCACTTCTCGATCTATCCCTGCAAAGAGCCGTGACTGTCACTCACAGCTCCCTGCAGGGCACCCCACCCCGCTCCGATCTTCCAGCGCTGACTGGCGGAACGAACGGGGGAGGGGGCGGGCACAGCTGCCTCTAGATCGGCAAAGCCAGCTGTCAATCCCGCAGCTGGGTGGATCTGGACAGCAATGTTGGGATCCGTTCCGCCTGCGGCGTCTCAGTATCTCGCGGTATATTGTGCTTTGGGTCACAGGAGAATGCTACTTTGTGTCCTCCAGTTACCCTAAGGAGAACTATGGGGAAAAGCCCTAACTCCATAGTTCTCCTTTTAACTTTGAGAAATACCAGTACCAATAAACCATAACAGTTTGCATGCAAACAGAAAACGAGGAATACTACTAGGCAGCACAGTGGTTAGCACTTGGTGGTTAGCACTTCTGCCTTGCAGCACTGAAGTTTCAAATCCTAGTCAGGACACTATCTGCATGGAGTTTGCATGTTCTCCTTGTGCTTGTGTGGGTTTCCTCCAGATACTCCGGTTTCCTCCCACACTCAAAAGACATGCTGGTAGGTTACTTGGCTCCTGTCTAAATTGTCCCTGTATGTGTCCATGTGAGATAGGGACCGTAGATTGCAAGCTCCTTGAGGGCAGGGACTGATGTGAATGTGCTCGATGTAAAGCATAAATTGTCAGCGCTATATAAATATCTGTAATAAATATAAGAGAAAAATTGAGGGCATTTTTACTAAATGTTCATTTATATGTTAAAAAATGTTTGTTCTAAAGGCGAAGATTGTTTTCAATGCTCGACTGCACCGTCAATTTCTTCCTTAATAATATCTGCAGATATTGATATGCTTGAAGAATTTGCATACTTGAGAACACAAGAGGGGGGTAAGATTCACTTGGAACTGATCCCCAATCAAGGAGTATTGCTTAAGTAAGTATGTAGTAGTTTTTACTAATGACAGTGCACCTTCAGACTACGGCTTGTCACTATTGTCAGTTAGCCATTAGTAAATACTCTTCCAGAGTACTACACATGCAATAAACGTGGTGGGTAGAGTGTAGAGCAACATGGAATAGTAAATTAATAAATCGAAAAAGTACAAAAATGAATAAATGTCTGTTGCCTGAACACTGGCCATTTAGACCAAGGCTGAAATGATATTCCGTTCTGAAATGTATATAAAATAGCTGACACAATGCCTGCTCACACTTACCTACGTTTCTTCAGGTTTCAGTAATGACTTGCAGAGCCATTCTTGAATTGTCATACTTGCAACTGAAGCCTTTGGGTTTGGGAGAGTGTTATTGAACCCCCAGTTCTTTCCTGACAATACCAAAGAGCAAATAGAGTGCCCCAAATTAATATTATATTGTCACTGTTAAACTATATGTAAACGCAAAACTTTTTCTTTTTGTAGTTTTGGATAGAGTATTGATGAATTAGAAAGTTGTTATCTGCTGGATGCATTCACTCTCTTTATTTGTCCTGGTGATTAAAGTCAATAGGGTTAAGAATGAGGGAAAATATTACATTTTGATTTTTCACCATAATGGAAATAGAGGAGAAATCTTCTAACTGGGGCATCCGTTCTCGATGCAGCTATCTAAGAGATTGACCTCACTTTGGAGTGCTCTGCTTACATGTCCTATTGTGTCTACAGGACAGGAAGTAAATGGAAATCTCTTAAAGATGTGTTTTATTTGTGTATCACTCAGCTGTAGATTTATGCTGACACTGTCCTTCCTTCCGGGGGGTGGCTACTTTTGTTCCCTATGGTCCATGTGTGTGTTGAAAAGTAGCCACCACTCCAAGCTTGCTCCCGCGATGGGCTACAATCTCACATTTAGTTTACTCATTTGTATTGAGATTGTAGTCCATCACGGGAGCGAGCCTTGAACAGTGGTTACTTTACAACTCAGGTACCATGGGGGAAAAAGTAGCCACCCTCCAGAAGAAAGGACAGTGTCAGCGCCAATTCAGAGATGATTTGAGGATCTACAGCCAAGTGATACACAAATAATACATTTGTATTAATAGTTAGGGTACTTAGATGCATTTTTAGGATTTAACTCTTGAGTTTAGTGTCACTTTAACCACTCTTTAATAATAATACCCCTTCCCATACTGGTGATTAGGTTTCCTTTGCTCCTCACACAACTGATGTTCCATTGTCCATTGTACAGGCCTTGAGAATAAAAGGTAATGATGACCTTATACATGCTAGTTAAACCACTTCTATGAAGTCACCTTTTCCCCAGGTTTTTCTAACCATTAGTTGTAAGTGAGAGCTCACTTCTTTTAATTTGGTAGCCCACCATTGTACCCTGCCCAAGCCCCCTATCTTACTCTATAACAGTGTCCTGACCCCTTATTTAAGATGTGGCATTGCAGGTGGTTTATTTTCCGGAATAGCAACATTTAGAAGGCAAATGAATTCATGTACTAACATAGCACAGTGTCAGTTTCAATAAAAGTGTACAGAAATATTTCTGAACAACTTTTTTTATTCTTCTTGTATGAAATATTCTGAGGGTAAATATAACTTTATTTTGGTTTAGCAAATTAGAAACATCACAAATGATTTATTGCGTACCATAGGCAAGGTTCTGCAACTTGTTTTAATCCCAACTTTATTTTTATGTTTGACATTTTGAGGTGTGAGGTGGTTAGAATGACTTTTCTGACCTCTTCACTTCTCAACCAGAGAGGCATTAGTGGGCATTGGAGGTTTCCAGCAATGTATGGTGCCTTTCAATGAATTGTTGCTCTACCAGATAACCTTTTGAAGTGTGAAAACTAGCTTCTGCTTTAGTATTTCTAATCCCTTTGGAAGCAAATATATATTGTTGTTGCCTTCCTTTTCAGTTTGTGTTACAGTTCAGTTTTTCAGTGCCAACTGGAAAACTGCTTTGTTCCTAAAAGGAAACTTGTCACAGCCTAGGTAGAGCAAAAGAGCACGTGATAAATACAGACCTCTTGAGTGAAGACCGCATGTAAAAATGATGACTAGTGTCACAGATATAGGTTACTGAAAATTTCTTTAGGGGCCCATTTACAAATTGCTGTTCTGGGGGCATTGCATTATGTTAGGGCAGCCTGTTCAAATGAAGGGGCTGCCAAAGCAGCAGAATGGACCAAAAAAAAGAGACAAGTAGCTTTTTGTTTTCTTTTTTCAAAGCACCACAACCCATGGCCGTGCATTACTGTAGTGAGTAGTGATGGTCTCAGGCATGTTCGCAGCTCCATGTGCCGAGCCTGCCGGAAGCTGACACCGCCAATCACAGCTACTGAGACATATCCCCATCTCTGCAGCTGCGGACCGGGAACATGTCTCAGTAGCTGTGATTGGCGCTGTCAGCTTCCTGGGGGGCTCGGCACATGGAGCTGCGTACACGCCTGAGACCATCACTAGCAGTGAGCTGCAATGCATGTGTACCGGAGCTGCTTTAGGTTGGTGAGTCATTCATAATAAAAGGCACAATAATGGCCAATGTTCATCATCGCAGCACATCATGCTGGAGAGGTGTAAACGGGCCCTTAGGCTGGATTTACACCTGTCTGATCTGTCATTGCACCAGTGTGTGTTTCGCTAAGGGAGCTTACTTTGATGAATAGGCAGCCAAAAAACTGATGTGCACCATTTTTTGCAGTGCAATGTGTGTTTTGGGGCACTGCAACGTTGGTTGGTTTGGGTGCCAATCAGAAAGAATGGTAGCAAAGTGCATAAACGAGCGCTGGCATAATGAACAGGTCTCAGTACAGCCGTAACCTTTCATTTTGAGTGTTGGAGTTGAGTTTAGCTCTGTCCCTTCAAGCCTATTTGGCTCCCTATTGGGTCAGTAAGGGCAACGATCACATTACACCAGTAGGGATTCTCAGAAGGTGGGATGAGGTGGGATCCAGCACATATTTTAAAAGGAAAATCAGAAATGTGTTTCAGGTGTCTTTATATGCGGGTCTACTTCTCGATTTATGTGTTTCATCATTTGCTCCATTTGAATTGCCCAGGTTTGTGACGGGTTTACTTCCTAAGAGCAATATGTGCTCTTCCATCTGTATTCTCAAACATGTTCCAGTGTGATGTGTTTTGGCAGCTGAGGGTTTTGAATGTTTGAATGTTACTGTTTACTGTTTTGAAGGAGCTCTAGCACTACCCTGGGGCTGCTGCAGCAGGAATTCATACCTGTCCTACAGGCCAGCCTAGCATCCAGTGACAGGTACCAAGTCCACAAAGCCTGCTCATGATGTGCTGTGTCTGTCAACATTTTTACTCACAGCCCCATAGTTTTTTGATGTGTGTTGTACAGCATTTTGCCCATATATATATTTCCATTTTATTTTCTTGTTCTTCATTTTGAGTGTAATATTGTGACATTCAGCATTCTTCCCCATGAGCGACTGGTATTTGTTTCCAACTGGCAGCACTCTTACATCACATGAAATGATGAGACTCATACAGTATCTATTAGAAAACAGCAATTTCCTCACTTTGTGCGTGTTTTATAAGTGCATGCAGTTCCTACATGAATTTGTATCATATCACATCTGCATGCTGCAGAAGGTATGCTTACATTTGAACAGACCGATCCATTGACTGGTATTACACTGGTAATAGACAAAAAGTGAATGTGGCTCAGCACATCATTTAAAATATTCCATTTGTTTTATAAACTGTTTTCTTTCAGCACTCACGCAGACCTTTCTTGAGTCAGAGCAGCTCTTACACTACAGATATGTATGAAGTAAGAATGCACCGATAGCGGTTTTTCTGTATCAAGTACCGATATTTAGCTTTCAGTACTCGCCGATACCTGTGCTTCCTCTAGCATGGAGCCGACTTCCTGGGCAATCAGGCTTCCTGATTGGCCAGGAAGCCGACTCCATGTTCCCTTACAGCATTGCCAGTCAGAGGGTCAGAGGAAATCTCCCTCTGACCGGAATTTCCAGTATCGGGGGTAAGTATCGGAGCATTTGGGCGAGTATGAGTACTCGCCCAAATACTGAGTCTCTGCACCGATACTCAGTGCATCCCTAGTATGAAGGACTTTGACACTTCATACTGTATGTGTCTGAGCTATCTTATGGCAGCCAAGGGACACCCTACTTAGAAATAGCAGTACTTATTCCAAAGTCTTTTTTAAAACCACGATATTTGTTTCCCAATAAACAAACATTTATTTTCTCCTAAACTGTGTGTGCGGATTAGAAAACAGTTGTTGCCATACAGTTCAGAGTAAAGCCCAGTAGGGCCTTGTTTCTACCAAGAAATGAATGTAGAACTAGTGCTTGTGTTCTCAGCACAGGGTGTACCCCAAGATCTTTATATTCAAAAGATTGTTCTTGAATTTATTACCTGCCAATAGCTGTATTCCATAACATGAGTGCTAATTCTTGGACAGCTGATCAGGGTTCACTCTGCGGAACTCAGACCAGTACGATATGAATTCTATTGGGTTGGTATAGTGTAAGAAGTATGTAGTTATAAACCGACAGTTTATTCCATATGGGTCAAGACCAGGGGAGGGCAACTCTGGCCCTTCAGCTGTGCTTTAAGTACAAACTACAAATGCCTGTAACTCTGTCTTGCAGTGCCTCATGGGACTTGTAGTTCCACCACAGCTGGAGTAGCCCAGCCCTGGTCAAGATGCTCACAGTTCTGTTACTGGCAGCAACTCACCTGCTCCACCAGCATTGTAATATGGCTGGCAGTGGGTGCACGATCAAGTGAAACCTTTCTGGTATCCTCTCTTCTTTCTAAGCAGTTCTGTTATTAGTGTGTTGTTGCTAGTGTTACTGTACATGGCTCTAAGGCCGATCAGTTCATAATTCTGTAACTTCACATATAAACAGGTTCGGTTATCAATGTGATTTACCCACCTGTTTGGGTATCCACAAAACTCTTAGGGCCCGTTCACACCAGATGCAGTGCGAACTGGCCGATTCTGGCCAGACCACACTGCCTCATTGCAGCCGGCTCACTTTTTGTGGGGCAGGAGGGGACGTGGCGGTCCATTGAAGTGAATGGCACCGTAGCTACGCCCTTCGGCCGCACGGGATCGCAAGGCACATTATGCCTGCGGTCCGGTGCAATCAGAATAGTGCCCCACAGAAAAGTGAGCCGGCCGCAATGCGAGGCAGTGCGTTCTGACCAGAATCAGACGGAACGCACTGCATCTGGTGTGAACGGGCCCTTTAGGAGGATGGGTGTAAGAAGTGTTGCACTTGGAGCTGCTTTGAATAGAAGCATTGTACCGAGAAATATGTAGGTTGCCATTGCTGATCCTCCGACTCTAAGTCACTTAGCATGTAGCAAGGGAGGGTAAAATGCCTTATGTGCATACTTGTTCTGGGCCAATGTTAGAAAGTAATAGTCAGAGGATCAGCAGGACAGCTAGCATTTTCAGAAAGAGGTAAGATTTCCTTTTTTTGAAGTCTAAATATTAACAATGGCTAGATGTGTGGAAAATAGGGTTTGTACTTCAACACCTTGGCTCTAATTTTTCAGCCTAGTAAGGTAACTTCTGGGACATTAGGCTAAGACACTAACAGGGCTATTCACGAAAGGGTGAAGAGTTTGTAGAAGGCAGGAGAAGTGAACAATCTAGGACAATATACACTACATTGCCAAAAGTATTGGGAAACCCCTCCAAATCATTGGATTCAGGCGTTACAATCACCTCCATGGTCACAGGTGTATAAAATCAAGCACCTAGGCATACATACGCTTCTACAAACATTTGTGAAAGAATGGGTCGCTCTCAGGAGCTCAGTGAATACAAGCGTGGTGCCGTGATAGGTTGCCACCTGTGCAATAAGTCCATCCGTGACATTTACTTGCTACTAAAGATTCCACGGTCAACTGTTAGTGGTATTATAACAAAGTGGAAGCAACTGGGAACAACAGCAACTCAGCCACGAAGTGGTAGGTCACGTAAAATGACAGCGCGGGGTCAGCTCATGCTGAAGCGCACAGTGCGCAGAAGTCGCCAACTGTCTGCAGAGTCAATAGCTACAAACCTCCAAACTTCATGTGGCCTTCAGATTGGCACAACAACAGTGCGTAGAGAGCTTCATGGAATGGGTTTCCATGGCCGAGCAGCTGCATCCAAGCCATACATCACCAAGTGCAATGCAAAGCGTTGGATGCAGTGGTGTAAAGCACGCCGCCACTGGACTCTAGAGAAGTGGAGACGTGTTCTCTGGAGTGATGAATCACGCTTCTCTATCTGGCAATCCGATGGACGTGTCTGGGTTCGCCGGTTGCCAGGAGAACGGTACTTGTCTGACTGCATTGTGCCAAGTGTAAAGGTTAGTGGAGGGGGGATTTTTTTTTCAGGGGTTGGGCTTGGCCCCTTAGTTCCAGTGAAGGGAACTCTTAAGGCATTAGCATACCAACTTCGTCATTAAGTCGCGACCCAAGTCGCACTGCAATAGAGTGCACGGCATTATGGTACCGCACGTTCTGGTGCGGATGTACAAACTGTGGGTGGGAGGTCTGTTTGGGGTACCATTTAAAATGAATGGTAACGCAACAGCCTGGATCCTCAGCCTGGGGTCCAGGGTGGGTTGCTGTGCTGTGACGGAGCTTCATCCATATGCATTGCTTGTACAACTCCCTTGTGCGCCATGTAGAGGTGCCGGGAACCAGAATGTGATGTCACTCTGGTCCAGGCAACTCTACAGGACATGTGAGGAAGCTATAAGCAATGCATGTATGGATGGAGCTCCCTTGCAGCCATAGCCCTAGCCCACCCCAACTCAAGCTGACACTTGGCACCAAGCAGCATATTTTTAATGGCTGCTTGGCGCGAGAACTGACAGTGCTGCGCTAGGATGAGGCTGAGGAACCTATCGCCTAGAAAAGTGGAAGGCATGTGGCGACCCACTGAACATGGGGTCGCGACCCACCAGTTGAGAACCAAGGTCCTAGATTGTTCACGTCTCCTGCCTTCTCCAAACTATTCACCCTTTTGTGAATAACCCTGTAAGTGATTTTTTTGGGACTTATTTGGTGCCTGCCTATACCCTTGTATAATATGCAGCATGATGTAGTGTGTATTACATTGTGCTCTGTGGATCAACTCAAAAGTCCTGTTTTCTTCCCCAGTCGTCTCATACATTATTGTTCTACTATTGCTTGAGTAACTTAATTCTTCCTAGCTGTGAAGTAAGCCTTAAAGCAGAACTTTGAGGAAAAAACATTCTTATCCCTTGCAGTGGGGCTACCCCTTGCACTTCAAGGTTTAAGTGCTCTTTGGGTCTAGGTAAAGAAAAACACTCACCCGAACCTCGGATCTGGCTGCTGTGACGGTGCTCCTTCTTGCCTGGCTTCTTCTCCACTGCAGCAATGGGATGCCCCCCAGCATCTTCCTGTCTTATACACTGTGTATAGAACATGATGACTAGAGGATCCTTAAGCTGGCCATACACCTATAGATTATCTGCACATTTTCTATGGTCAGATGGAAAAAGCGCAACAGATTCCTCCATCTACGCTAAACTGTGTGGATGGAGGAATCTCCCGCTGGGCCAAGCTTCAGTATCTTGCTAGTCCGTCTCGCTGGCTCACAAAATACCTGAGCAATCTGATTGGATGCATTGTTCAGGTATTTTGAGAGCCAGCCGGGCTGACTAGCAAGATACTGAAGCTTGGCCCAGCGGGAGATTCCTCCATCCACACAGTTTGGCGTAGATGGAGGAATCTGTTGCACTTTTTCCATCTGACCATAGAAAATCTGCAGATAATTGTAAGGTGTATGGCTAGCTTTAGGCTGCTGCAGAGGAGGGGAGAGAAGCTCCAAGGACTGGTCTAAGAGCTGGTCGCCTGTGTCTTTTTTTTTTTTAAACCTAGACACAAACAAGCAAACCCTTGCAGTGCAAGGGGGGTAGCCCCACTGTTAAAGAAAAACTCTGGGGACATTATTCTTAACAATCTTACTGAATAACATGAAACAATATATTACTGGTTCTTGATGAATTGGAACTTTGTAGTGACTTAGGTGTAGGTTGACTTGTGCATGGTAGACCCAGAGATGTCATTTTAGATTACAGGGCTCTGTGTTAGGCGTAATAGAAATCTTGATGAACCTTCTAAGCAAAGATGACACTTTCTCGTCTGACAGGCATCACACAGTGACTCGGGGCATTACGAAAGGAGTAAAAGAAGACTTCAGGCTGGCAATGGAACGACAGGTCTCTCGTTGCACAGAAAATCTCATGGTCATCTTGCATCGCTTTTGTATTAATGAAAAGATTTTGTTGTTACAGTGTTTAGCTTAACATCCAAACTTACTTCAGTCAGTTAGACAGTCTTTGACCTATGATGTTATGTGAATCTTGCTGATTTAAAAGCCCGAAAACTTTTCAATTTTGGATAGCGCTTCTGTTAGGTTTTAATTGCCAACCATGTCCCTAATATGGAGATTCCAGAGAGGTAGTGAGGGGAAATTTCTATAACAGGGATACAGGCAAAAACCTTTAGGGTGGGAAGGTTCACAACTTGTCAACTGTCTTTATTGCTGTGTGCCTTCCTGTCCTGCAACCCTCGTTTCTTGTATGGGCATGACAGGAAATGGAGAAAAAGCTCCCTAACAGGTTCACAGACGGAAGTAAAAATCCAACAGAAATGTTAATTCTTCCCCACTCTGTCCAAAACTAAAAGACCAGAGTCAGGCTTTAATGTGAGCATTGTCTTGTTTATCCATTGACTGTATACTGTATTTCCCTGTATAGTTTTTCTGGATGTATATGATGTTATTTCAGTGTTGTAAATAGATTTGGATCCTGCTTGCGTAGCAATGTAAATTGTAAGATATGGCATTTCCCCTCTACTTTTGCAAAACATTTCAAGTTTGATGTTGCAGTCTACTTTTAATGTTATTAAAATAAATCCTATGTTCACAGCTTCTGTCTTCTTTGTTTTTGATATAGAAATGTATGCAGATAAAGTAAAATGCGTGCCATTTGTTTCTGTTCAGACATTCAATATTCCTTAAACTCCAGTATTATTTTTGTCTATAAAT